GTGGTTATTTGGCCAGCTCTAGTCCAGGCCACTGGGAATTTCTAAAAATCCAGACACTTCACTGAATGCACTAAACAGGGGCTGAGCTCTTTGAAGGCTCAATCCTGCAATTTACACTGTGTGGGCAGACCCCTGCATTGACACATAGGGCATGTCTAGACTACGTTTTTTATCGAAAGGAGATATGCTAATTTGCATATCTTCTTCTGATCGCATTTTTGAAAGCAGGTCTCTCGTAGGGGATAATTCCATCCTTTGTTCATGGTTATGCATAAAGGCCTGATTAGATGAAACACAGAGGCTAGGTTTACAGGTTTACACAGTTTTTCGAAAAAGGGGGATTTTTTTCCCATAAAAAAATGCATCCCGTGCTACTTTCACTTTCAAAAGACCTGCTTTCAAAAATGCAATTGGAAGATATGCAAATTAGCACCGAATCTGCATATCTCCTTTCGGAAAAAAACCATAGTCTAGACATGCTGACTAGCTCAGCATGGACACAGCAGTTCAGCTGTTAACTGCTAGAGCAGGTCCAAAGCTTGCAAGTGTGTAGCTACACGTGTCCACACATATGGTTCCTAGACAGGGAAACTAATGTGTGCTAACTGAAGGTGCCACCCTGAAGTCCTAAGTAATTCCATTGATTTCAATGGGAATAATTCATTTAGCAAGGCCTAAGGCTTTGTGGGATCCTGATATTAGAGTCATTTACTGATACTTTCATAGCTTAGATTAAGAGATAGTTGGGCCAGAAGGCACCATGTTGACCATCTGACCTCTTGCACAACACAGGCCACAGAACCACACTCAGCAATCCCCCCATCGAGCCCAACACTTCTTTTAGAAAGCTGTTCTGTCTCCAGATAAAGACTGATAAGGATGGATAATCTATCTGGTGCGAAGGTGCTAACTTTTTGTAGTGACTCCAGTCATTTGGAGCAAGAGATGGTAGGGTCCATCCTTCCTTCAGATGAGCGCCAGCAGCTTATGTTGTAGTCAGCCTCTTAGGTGCAGCTGATGGGAGAACATATCCCTTAATAATTACATTCCACAGTTAAAGAACCAGTTTGTGACTGGAATTTGGAAAAGCCAAGTCTGTTTCAGATTAAGGGAATGTTTTCAACATTTATGCTTGATGCAGTTTTTAAAAAACCCACAACAACAAAGGTTTGCTCTATAAAATGCCTTGAGTCTTTTCGAAGGGACGGCGTGGGGGGATGGAATGAACACCACTTATATACATGCAAAATAAATCTTGTGTCCAGGGTACAGAAGACAATAGGGAAGTGGGGAAATAGTGTATAATTTGAAAGGGATGCGAGTTAAGTTACAATCTTGCTGCAGGATATGAAGGACTTTGTAGCTGTCGCTGCCCAGAAATATTACATTTTTTTCCGGCATGCGGTTTTCATTAGCTTGTTTTAAAAAATGTACAACTCCAGAAAAAATGTCAGTGCTAGAAAATGAGAAGCTTAATGACCAATAGTTCAAAATTCCCAAATATTAAAAAACCAAAAGGCCTGGTGTATCTGATTTGTGCCTGGCAAGGCAGCTAGAAATAGGAGTGAGAACAATTGGCTTTTCTGTTGGTTGACCTCACCCCTGCTCCTTTTTATTCCCCAGTGGTTTATGCAATTCAAATGTTTGTTTTGCATTAAGCTTGTCAAATGGCAGCCTCATCTCCAAGCGACTGCTTAAGTAAGACACCCCTTATTTTAACATGGCTTTTGGTAGGGAAAAGTTTTTTATTATTTAGAAAGTTGTATTCATTTTTTCTAGTGGAAGGTTATTTTAATTTTACCTTAAAGGGAGAATATCAATATAAATGTATACCAAATATTGGCTGGTTTCTTTAAAAAAATCTGATCCAAGTAGAATTATTTTCATGTTATTTTACTGTTGGGGAAATACTTTTTTTAAAATGTGAAAATTCCCCTATAGTATTGAAATCTCAAACAGGGAGATGGTTTAAGGCATGAAAGCCCGATATTGAAACTGCCAGGAAATGGATAATGAAATTGACCAGCCTAATTTCTCTGTACACCTAAGTAAAGAACAAAAAAATTAAACAGTGTAGATAGTGTAAAGTAAATTATGGACCAAGTTCTCCTCTCATGTTCATTGGTGTAACTGTCAATGCAGTTTTATGGGAGACAAGAATTTTTGTTGTATATCTGTTTACAGTTCAGTTTCATGTGATGTAATAGTTATTGGGAAGGCTTTGAAAGTTGGACTCTGATAGACATTCGCATGTGACGCTAGATGGCATTGCAAAACACTTATGTTTTGGTTTAAAGAAAATGTAACCTTTGGTAAGAAGTTAGGGTTATTATATGTAACTACTAGCGGGCTGTGCCCTGTGCTCACTACACTTGTCAACCCCCCTCTCTCTGGCTGCTTATGTTCTCTGACCGTGAAAGTGAGAGAGTATGATGATGTCGTTCTGTTGCCTGGCAGGAAAAAACTTTTTTATATATAGAGAGAAATGTGGAATGCTTTTGTCCAGTCATATTCACGCTATCTGGTGTGATTTCTACCTTTAAAAAAAAAAAAAAAGCTTATTTAACTTATGTATACATACACCTGAAAGCATTTTCTGTTGAATTTGATGGATGATGACATGGTGGAAACTCAGTAAAAGGACAGATGAACTAGAAAGGCTTATTCACAAGCTAAACAGAAATCAGCAGCTGAGAATCCTCCTATTAATATTTGACTGGAATGGATCCTTCAGGAATTGATGGATTCTGGAACTGGAGGATTCAAGACACAAAAGACCTGATATTCTTTTACTCCAAGACCACCTCCATACTTTCTACCAGTGTGAAAAGGCTTTAAGGTGAGTAATTTCATGTACATGAGAACTGAGGCAAAGACTTTGAGGCTGTATCTATACTAGGGCTTTACATTTCAGACTATGGCCATGATTTGGTGAGGTATCTGGCAAGTGCCTAACTTTAAGTACATGATTAGTCCCATTTGGTCCAGCTGGGTTCTAAGTTACTGCAGTTACACTCCAAGTGATTTTGTGAAAGCAGATCCCGCGTTTATCATGTCTTAATGACTCCAGATCAAAATGTGCTCATTTTAAAAGCGGAAAACTGTTTTTCTAAATGCCAGCCCTGGAACATCACCCTGAGATCTGAGAGTCAAGATGGCATCCTTCCATCGCATATAGTGCCAACAATTGTACTACAACCTCTGTAAGCCAGATTTAGCTCTACCCCCTAACTACTAGTTGTCATCCAAGTCTATCTGATACCGTGAAGTCTCATGGGAAACAATGAAGTTGGCAGATATAACAGGGTGGGGGGGGGGGCGGGGGGGGGGGGGTT